GCAGGGGTGGGAGCCGGTCAAAGCTCTTCCATTCATCATTTAAACTTTTCAGTGTCGAAAATCTTGTCATCTGCAAAACAAAACACCCATTGCTCAATGGCTCCCTTGCCACAAAGAAGCCCAGGACGTTCTGGCATTTGATCAACAAGAAGCCAGAGCCCAGATTTCTGGAAATGCCTTTTGGGCAGAGCATCCTGGTTTGTTTCTCTGTTACCGGTGAGAGATAAAAGCAGCTCTCGGTTTCAGGGGAATCTCAGTCTTTTGTGGCATGGCGGGTCGCCAGCGCCACCTGAGCGAGGAGCTGCAGGCCTCGAGATCCAGCAGCCCACAGCATGAGGAATCCAGTGATATCCCAGGGAATCCCAGGGTCCCCCATCCCGCAGCTTCTCCCTGCCCAGCCCCCACAGGGAAGTAGAGGAAGAGGCCAAGCATGCCTACTGAAGATGAGGTCCAAGGGGGAAGGGCCAGTGGGACAGGAAGATCTGGACTCCTCCTCCTGGCCAGGCTTGATTTACTTCCAGTATCCTGGAATTTAGGAAAGAGACTCAAAATAAATCCCCCAAAGTCCATAACCTTCCTTACCCTTTAGCTTGGGAGAGGCAGAGGTCAGGCTGAGTTGCTGTCTCAACGCCTGCAGACCCTGGCAGGGAAAGGAGGGAGGGGATGGCGCTCACCCTGGAGGGTGGGCCTGTGCTGACCTGGGGTGTCCATGCCCCGCCTGAAGGGCCAATGGGAATGTGCTAGAACGTGGTCCACTGCTACCAGAGTGTCCTGTTTTTCCAAGGAATCTCCAGATTCAAATGTAGATGTGAACTTTCCAGATTTTTTTCATGTTGTCTCAAAAATTGTTTTAATTCTGTGTGGGCCACACAGCCACTGCGTCTACAGACTACACTCAGCCGTGCACACGCCACCACTCTGCATCTTTTTTTTTTTTTTTTTTTTGGCTGCTTCTTGTGGAGCAGGGCTAATTCGCAGGCATTGTGCCCAGAGTAGCCTGCATCTTCTGGTCGGTAGGAAAAAAAAAAAAAGAGAGAGAAGAAGAAGAAAAATACCCCAGGTGGCACAGGAAGCCAGGGAATAGGAGGGGAAGACTCTGGCTCGCCTGATTGCACCTTTTGAATGCTGACCTGTGGGGCTGTCTTACGTATTCACGAGCTATGTTTTCCATTTGCAAAGTTTCACAAATGCCTGAACCACCTCCCACAGGTAGAATGAAATGGGTTCTTTTCTCTCTCTCTTTTTTTTTTTGAGATGGAGTCTCACTCTGTCCCCCAGGCTGGAATGCAGTGGGGCAATCTCGGCTCACTGCAGCTTCTGCCTCCCCGATTCAAGAGATTCTCCTACCTCAGCCTCCTTAGTAGCTGGGACTACAGGTGCGCGCCACCACTCCCGGCTAATTTTTGTATTTTTAGTAGGCCTCGCCATGTTGGCCAGGCTGGTCTTAAACTCCTAACCTCGGGTGATCCACCTGCCTCGGCCTTTCAAAGTGCTGAGATTACAGGCGTGAGGCACTCCTCCTGGCAAAGTGGGGTCTTACTAGTTCAGCTCACAGACACTTCAGCTTGAGCTGGAAGCAGGGAGCTAAGGCCTTTGGGAGGTGAGAGGGAGAGTGAAGTAGAAGTGAATGGGAAAAGACAGTGGGCAGCAGAGGCCCGGGCACTTGGCACCAGGGGCATGCCTGTCCCCCCAGCAGGCCCTCCCTGTCTCTGCCAGCTCTCCATCCTCCCCTCCCCTGTGTATGACACCGAGTGGCCTGGAGGGAGGCCAGAGGAGCCTGTGTGTGGGGAAAGCCTGGCACCAGCCTGAGCTCTGCCATCATCTGGCTGGGAGACCTCGCACCAGACAGGGACCTTGCTAGACCTCAGCTTCCCATCAGCCTACAGAGAATCCCCCTTGGTTGTCCCCCCAATAGATTAGGTCTCCTCGTAATAGGCTCACATAGCTCCTGGGACTTCTTCATAGTATGCGGCACAGTCAAAATTAATCAATCCCGATATAATTCTGGAAGAATCTTGTCCTTCTGGAAAAACATCTAAGCTCCATGAGATCCCAGACTGATAAATTTCTGGCACCTAACTCAATCCCTGACACACAGTAGGTGCTCAGTAAATATCTACTTGAGGCCAGGGGTGGTGGCCCATGCCTGTAATCCCAGCACTTTGGGAGGCTGAGGCTGGCGGATCACAAGGTCAGGAGTTTAAGACCAGCCTGGCCAACATGGCGAGGCCTACTAAAAATACAAAAATGGCGTGGTGGCGGGCACCTGTAGTCCCAGCTACTCGGGAGGCTGAGGCAGGAGAATCGCTTGAACCCAGGAGGCGGAGGTTGCAGTGAGCCAAGATTGCCCCCCTGCACTCCAGCCTGGGAGACAGCGCGAGACTGTCTCAAACAAAAAACAAGTGTTGCAGGGACAAGAAGTGACTCCAGGCAGGTCCTGTGGCCCCCAGGGGCCTGACCCTCTGCCAGCATTTTGTTTGCAATTATCGGGGGAGTGGCTGTTGGGGGAGTATGAAACCTGGGAAGGAGCAGTTCATGTACTCCAGGTTAAGAAACTCTGAACAGCACCAACCTAAGGCCCAGTGAGTACAGTGCGGGCAAGGGGGAGGGAGGAAGGAACACGTGGGGATGGCTGCCCCATTTTCACCTTAGACACCTTAAAGTCTCACCTCCTTGTGCTTGGTGGAGGCTCCAGCCCCACTCCTAGCCCACTTCTCTGCCTTCGAAGCTGGTTCAGGATCTTGGGAGCCAAAGAGAGGGTATTATTTTCTTTTTTTCTTTTTCTTTTACTTTTTTCTTTTTTTTGAGACGGAGTTTCGCTCTTGTCGCCCAGGCTGGAGTGCAATGGCACAATCTCAGCTCACTGTAAATCTCCACCTCCCAGTTTTAAGCGATTCTCCCACCTCAGCCTCCTGAGGGGCTAGGATTACAGGCATGTGCCACTGTGCCCAGCTAATTTTGTATTTTTAGTAGAGACAGGGTTTCACCATGTTGGCCAGGCTGGTCTTGAATTCCTGACCTCAGGGGATCCACTAGCCTTGGCCTCCCAAAGTGCTGGGATTATAGGCGTGAGCCACTGGGCCCGGCCTATCATTTTCTATTTGAACTTGCCCAAGAATCAGTACATGGCAAAGTGCACACCAGGTGTGCTTCACACTGCAGAGGAGGCAGGGACTTCCCAGAGGGTGAGGGGCTCAGAAGAAGCCTGCGTCCGGGATGCAGGAGGTTGACCAGAGGCTGCAGGCACACCATGGTCGTGAGGAACACCTGCCCCAGAGCCCCATGAGAGTCAGGGCACCCGACTGTGCCCACCTGGCTCCAGCAGCCAGCCCAACCGGAGTATTGCAGGGCGAGCCAGACAGCTGCACTCACCTGCACCTCCACCAGCTCCTGCCGCTCCAAGGGCGCCCGGGCCCAGGACATCCCAAGAGGCACGTCTCCCAGAGACAGCCTGGCCTCCTCACCCCTCCCGAGCTCTCCCCCTCCTGGGCACTGCCTCCTCTGCATTGCCGCCCAGATGGTTCACCACAGCTTCACTTCCCAGAACTGCCCTGCTGCCCTGATGTCTGTTCCCGCAGCTGCTTCAGGGCAAATAGAAACTCTTCCCACCCCAGCCTCGGACAGAGCAGCATTTGTCGGTTTGGGGTCAGAGGAGATATTGGCTAGGAGCTAACTCCTCACTCCCCACCCTCCAACTCCAAACTTGTAGCAGATGTGGATTCCTCTTTGACAAAGTGGGAAGAAACTTTCCTCCCCTTCTCACTGCGCCCCCGACATTTCATCCTCTCGGCAGCCTCCTAGATCGTCACCCCCCTTCCCCACTTTCACCCTCTCAACACTCCCCAGGGCCCCTCTGTGGGTGGAGGAATGGGCCCCCCAGGGCAGGGGTCCTGGCACTCAGGCCCAGCCCAATCCCCAGAGGGAACGAGGAATCCGAGAAGGCGGCCGGTGGGTAGGTGGGTGGGCCCCTCAAGTGTTTTCTTTCCCCTCCCCTCCTCGAAGTTTTTCTGGGAAATGCCAGAGGCCGGCTGGGCTTGGAATGTCAGGCTTGAAAGAACTCCTCCACTGCCTCTTAGACATCGGAGCCACAAACCTTTTTATTAGCTCCGGGGCCCCTCCTGGCGGGAACAAAGGCCTGCAAACAGGAATGCCATTGTCCCTGCCTCCCTTGGCCTGCCCCTATCGGAAGCAGGAAAGAGAGGGCTCAGGGTCAACCTGGTCTGAGACCTGTGCACCCTTTCCCTGCTCCGGAAAGGTCATCTGGGCCACAGTCCTGCAGGCTGCAAGGTTAGTTCCTACGGGCCATCCCAGTGGGTAAGAAAAAAGCCAGGGCTGCAGCCCAGGAGGGCCGGCGTGTGGCAGAGCTGAGCACTCCAGGTAGCCCAGCCCTAGGTTCCAGGCCTCAGCCCTGGGAGAGCCACACTGGAGCAGCAGGCAGGGCTTCCAGGAGGTCAGATGAGAGACAGTTCCCCCACCATCTCCTCCAAATTGGCCAAGAGAAAGGGCGACAGAAAGGAAGAGGCCTCCCTCCCTCCTCCCCTTGCCTCTAGACACCAATGCCAGACCTGAAGCTCTAGAAGGGAGAGAAGCTGATTGATTTCCCCACCGTGTATCCCCAGGTGTGGCAGGCTAGCTCACAGACAGAAGACGCACAGCCAAAGGCAGGCCCTGGGCAGTACAGCCCCGGCTGCCTCCTCGTGCTGTAGAATGCCCAGCAGTGTTAAAGACAGGGAGACCTTGGGTTTGGCATTTAGCAACGCTGTGGTCTGAGGCCGGCATCCTGACCCATCTAGCTGCAGATGCAGCCACCAACAATGGCAACCTCAGCATCCGCCCCCGGGCTGGCAAGCCTGTGTTCACCAAGCCATGCCACGGCTTCCCGCGACCACCCCGTGGCGCCAGGTTTCCTTCCCATCCATGAGATTTGGGGAAGGGTTCAGCATCTGTCACACACCATGAGTAAGTGGAGCCCTACAGGCGGCTGAAACCACTGTGTACTTCCCCTCCATCATGAATGAATATCTTTATTATCTTTATGACCAAGCACCTTTGCCTGGAAATGGGATTGTGACTTCGCAGAAATTCTGCAAAGGGAGAGATTAGGAAAAGGCGAGAGTCTCCTAAATCCCTTAGACGGGAAATCAGGAGGGCAGAGCAGAGGGGCCCAATCTCCCCTCGATCCCCCCAGCGGAGGGAAGATAAGAGCAAGCAAGCCTGCGTCCCAGCTCTGGCTTCTCTCTGCTGGGGTCCCTGCCTGGAAACAGCTCTGGAGTGTGCCCTGTAAAGGCCCAGGTGTCTCTGCCCACATTTCCAGACACTTTTTTGTCTTCATTCCCTTTGTCTTCAGATTAACAGGCCTCGTAATCTCATGGATGGCGCTTCCCAGCACTCACACCCTCTACCCCATCTGTACAGCTCCTGAGCCCTGCAGGGAAAACCAAAAACTACTCTAGAAGAAAGCAGGTTGTGGTCTCTGAAAACAAGGGAAAGAAGAAGTCAACATCATCCTTGACTTAAAGATTATTTCTACCTACCAGATTCCAGTCTTAAAAAGAAAAAAAAAAATCAAATATAGTCTGTTTCCCCAAGATCCTCGCTGGAGATCTAGTCAGAACATTTTGGTTAATGCAAAAAGAGCTACCTGGAAGTTTAGAGTATCTGTCTTTTTTTTTTTTTTTTTTTTTTTTGAGACAGGGTCTCTGTCTTCCAGGCTGGAATGCCACGGCACAATCATAGCTCACCACAGGCTCTACCTGCTGGGTTCAAAGGATCCTCCCACCTCAGCCTCCCAAGTAGCTGGGACCACAGGCATGCACCACCACATCCAGCTAATTTTTAAAATTTTTTGTAGAGATGGAGTCTCCACTGTGTCGCCCAAGTTGGTCTCAAACTCCTGAGCTCAAGCAGTCCTCCCACCTCGGCCTCCCAAAGTGCTGGGATTATTGGCACATGCCACGGTGCCCAGCTTATCTGCCAACCTATCTGCCAAATTTTAAAGGAAAAGTAGAAATCAGCCAAGGTATGGAAAGTAGTTCCCTCCCTGTCCCCAGACAGGGAAGCAAATGTACAGAAACCCAGGACTGAGGACAGTAGAACCTTCTGGACAACTTGGAGCTCCATGGAGCTGGAGCATGAGGCCCCAGGCGCTGAGGCAGTGGCGGCGGATGAAACTGACACAGAGCAGCGTGGGATGCACACTGCACCAAGGAGTCTGGATTCATCCAGAAAGCGATGGGAAACCATGGGAGAGATTAGAATGCCAAAGGGAAGGCCAGGCACGGTGGCTCACGCCTGTAATCCCAGCACTTTGGGAGGCCAAGGTGGGCGGATCACCTGAGGTCAGGAGTTTGGACCAGCCTGGCCAACATAGCGAAACCTTGTATCTACTAAAAATACAAAAAAATTAGCCAGGTATGGTGGCACATGCCTGTAATTCCAGGTACTCCGGAGGCTGAGGCAAGAGAATCACTTGAACCTGGAAGGCAGAGGTTGCAGTGAGCCCAGATGGCACCACTGTACTCCAGCCTGGGTGACAGAGTGGGAATCTGTCTCAAAAAAAAAAAAAAAAAAAGAAGCTTGGTGTCCGGCCGACCTGTTTCAAGACAAGCAGCTTTTTGGAATGTATCTTGCATAGGAGCTGTACGGTTCCCCAAAACGAGGCAGCTTACATCCATAGCCAACCATATGAACCCAAGCTGCAGCAGCTCAGCTCACTCCTCCCTTTCCTCGAAGCCTCCCCAGTGCTTTCAAAGTCATGACAGTTAACATGCATTGAGCACTTCCTATATGCAAGGCACCACTCTAAGCATTTTGCATGTGGGAGCTTCAGACAACTCAATGAGGTAGGTACTACTCTCCAACCATTTTACAAATGAGGAAACCAAGGCACAGCTGGCAAGGCAGATTGCCTAAAGTCACACAGCTACTGGGTGATAGAGCCCGAACAACAGTTCGATCTCCTGAGTCAGTAGGCAGGGAGCCCCGTACCTCCCACCATACTCATCACCTGGGGGCCCCATGTCGATTGCCTCAGCCATCTCCCCCTGCAGGATTCACCCAGCACTTCTGTCTTCCAGCCCTTTGCCCTGTGCCCAGCAAAAGCAGGCTCTCAGCAAGGGTTTATGGAATGGATGAATGAACTTGACTTGTGTCAGAGCATTGTAATTTACAAAGCACTTTCTCATCCATTACCTCAAGGGCTATTCCTTGAGTCTTCCTTGTCTTCCACTGGGCTCTGCCCAGAAGTGTATGGTCATGCAGCCACGTAACACTGAATGGATGAGAAAAAGAATGAACTGATTACAGAGAGAAGGAGAATCCATTCCATTACCCTGCAAGCATTGTGAGGGCAAAGACCAGGTCCTACTTATCATTATAGATCAATGCCCAGCCCAGTGCCTGGTGCATGGAGCAATATTTGTGAAATGCGTTGAATAAACCAGTTTCCTCCTCTGCTCTCCTAATAGTCTGGAAGGAGAGTTGAACTGGGTTACTTCTATTTCTATCATGCTTTGATGTGCAGAATCTTTTTCATGTTTTTAAATTTCAAATCTCTTATGGGAAAAGGTTCTTTTTCTTTCTTCTTTCTTCCCTTTTTTTTTTTTTTTTTTTTTTGAGACAGAGCTCTGTCGCCAGGCTGGAGTGCAATGGTGCAATCTCGGCTCACAGCAACCTCTGACTCCCTTGTTCAAGCGATTCTCCTGCCTCAGTCTCTCAGATAGCTGAGATTACAAGCATGCGCCACCATACCCAGCTAATTTTTGTATTTTTAGTAGAGACGAAGTTTCACTGTGTTGGCCACGATGGTCTTGATCTCCTGACCTCGTGATCCACCCGCCTCAGCCTCCCAAAGTGCTGGGATTACAGGCATGAGCCACGGCCCCCGGCCCCTTTTTTTTTTTTTTTTTTTAAATAGGGTCTCACTCTGTTGCCCAGACTAAAGTGCAATGGCACAATCATGGCTCACTGCAGCCTCGATCTCCCTGACTAAAACAATCCTTCCATCTCAGCCTCCCAAGTAGCTGGGACTACAGGCACAGGCCACCACTCCTGGCTTATTTTTTTTTCTATTTTTTACAGAGATGGGGGTGCTCACTTTGCTGCCCAGGCTGGTCTCGGATGCCTATGTTCAAGTGATCCTCTGGCCTCAGCCTGCCAAAGGGAAGGAAAAGGTTCTGGCTCCAATTTTACAGATGGCAAAACAGAATCCCAGATAAACTGTGTGTCTTGTCCAAATATCATTGAGTCCCCAGCACATGCTGGAGAGAGGTGATGGCACAGACTGAGGATACCGTGGCAAAGGCAGTGCGCACATATCAATTCCAGGACCCGCGAAAGGACCAGCTCTAGGTTCTGGAATCCCAAGCTCCCAGTCCCTGGCGGCAGTCTCTTCCTTCCCTTTCAGCACCTCACTATCCTGGTATCTGGGAAGGGCACAGGGCCCCAGGCCCACAGCCTCTGCGTCCCGAGAGGTGAGGATCTAAATGCCACTGAGGCGGCTCTCGGGTGTCTCCAGCACCACACAGCCCATTTGGGGACAAGATGACAAAACTTGCCGTCCTTCATAAGGCTGGCCCCAGGTCTCCAAGCCCAAACTATCTACATCAGTGCCAACGTGACCAATAGCAAACCAATCTTTCACCTCAATCACCTCCTCTCCTCCCCTCTACCCCCTCCCCGCCAGTCCTCCCCCCACCCCAAGAGAGGCAGGGAGGCACATCCCAGGGGGTGGGGGCACATCCCGGGGGTGTGGGCCATCTGGCAGTAGGCTGAACCCCTGAAAACTACTTTCCGGAAATTCTGTCCTGCTAGAATTTTATTCCCAGGTCTGACCCCAGCCTGGGGTGTGAATTCCCCCTTCTCGGCCACCTTTCCAGCTCCGGAGACAGCCATTCCCGCAGACCCCTGGCGCGCCTATTCCGGAGCCTGGGGCGCGCAGCACCAAACTGCACTCCCCTTGGAGACCCCAGGGCGCCCTCTGGCGGACGCGGGCCGTAGGTTGGGGCCATCGTTCCCCCTCGAGCTCTCCAGCCCCGCCGAGAGCACCTGGCCCAACCCACACCGGACCAAGTCGGTTTGCAGACCCCAGTGCATAAAAGCGTTTTTATATGGGAGGGGAGAGGGGCTCCACACTCGCGTCAGGGTTGGCAAAGAACCTGGCAGTGGGCCAAGGCTGGGTAGCTGCCACACAGGGGCGTCCCCTGCAACCCTGGGTCTCCCCTCTGGGACCTGCTCGCAGGTGACTGTCGCACGTCTCCAACCTCCGGCTCCCGGGTCTGACCCCAGCCCCGTGGCCTGGCTGTGGGGTAACCCCACTTCCCTTTTGACTGGCCTGGGCCGCCTGGACCCGCAATCGGGCACTCGGGGAGGCCCGGGTGGCGGCGAGGGGGTGTCCCCGCGGGGTCCAAGAAAAGGGGAAGGGGAACCGGGAGGCTCTCCTGGTCGGCCTCCTAGAACTGCCCGCGCTCCCGAAGCGGCGCCCCCGCCTCTGCCAGAAATTGGCCTTCTTAGAAGGGAAGGGGGTGGGGGGAAAGTGTGAATGAGAAGTTGGGGGCGGAGCGCGGCGGGGAGGGGCCGC